GGTGTATTCATATCGAACATACTGGGATATGATGGGAAGAAGGCTGCGTGACTTGTAGGACCACACGATGTGCAAAATCCGAACGGCAACCTCCACGTGCACATTGGGTTACGCTGATGTCGACGGTAATGAACGAAAATACAAGGGTTACTTCAAAAAGCTGTAACTTGGCGAAAAAAAATCGCAGTAACTTCTTCTTTTTTTAAATTGAAGGTAAAAGTACACACTTTTTGATACTTCGAGCAGAATTAGCGAGGAAAAATTTCCTACGCCCGGGCACCTGGCCAAAGTTGGTTAGTTTTTAGGTAAAAACATGTCCTTACATTTTAAAAGCTACAGCAGCGCAGATGCATTCGAGGAAAAATCTGGTGACTAGTTTTGAAGCTGAGAGTGCAAGCTTTTATTTAAAAAAAAACGATCTTACTACGATGATTTTTAACGGAGATATCGTCGGTAATGTCGAAAACACAAGAGTTATTTCAATGAGCTGTGATTTGGCGAACAAAAATCGTAGGAACTTCTTTTTTTTTAAATTGAAGAGAAAAGTATACACTTTTTGATACCGTAAGCAGAACTGGCGAAGAAAAATTACTACACTCCGCACAGTGCGTCAAAGTGTGCAATTTTTTAGAGAAAAAACATGGTCATGATTTTGAGAAAGTTCCGGGAAATGAGAAGAGTGAATGCAAATTCCAATAAGAGCTTCTTAAAGCAGAGACTTTGCCCTATAAAATGAAAAAAAAACTTTTCAATTCGACCAGTTTTCGCGAAGTTACGCTTATTTGAAATTCGCCAAATTTTGATGTAAATTTCTTGTTGCGTTAATTTTTTTGACCAGTGTATTTTATATAATTTATAATTAGAAAAGATGCACTGAGAAAAATTTCCATCGGATAAACCAATTAAATAGTATGTCCGATGGTTAATTTTTCCGATTACGTTTTCCGATTAAATTATGGATATATCCGATGAAATTTATTCGATGAAATGCAATTACCGGTGAAATTTGATTGAAAAACCGATCAAATTTTTCATCGGATATACAATTTAATCGGATATATCCGTTTGTTATCATGTAATTGGATTATCCGATTATATTTCATCGGACATTTTTCTCAGTGTGGCCTTTTCTAATTTAATTGTTGGATACATATCAGTCCTGATTCACGACATTATTGTTTAATAAAAAAATTGCTGATGTATTGTAAATCGCACTCAAGTTATCGATTGAGCCTACTTATAGAAATCGATCGGATCAGCCGTTATTGAGATCCGATAATCTGAGCACTGAGAAAAATTTTCATCGGATAAACCAATTAAATAGTATGTCCGATGGTTAATTTTTCCGATTACGTTTTCCGATTAAATTATGGATATATCCGATGAAATTTATCCGATGAAATGCAATTACCGATGAAATTTGATTGAAAAACCGATCAAATTTTTCATCGGATATACAATTTAATCGGATATATCCGTTTGTTATCATGTAATTGGATTATCCGATTATATTTAATCGGACATTTTTCTCAGTGAGGGTTTCTCGACTCGCGTACTCGCGTGAAGATACACGGTCGGTCTTGCGCGCGTGGTATTCGCTACGCTTATATTATACTTGGCGCGAGACACTACCGTGTCTCTTGATCTACCGTTAATCCAAACGTTAATGCGGCTCAATGCACGGGCAAGTTTCGCGTTAGAGATGCAAATGAGAGCCGCATCGCGGGAAATTTTTTCCTGCTGACAAGCCGAGCGCTTCTTTCTCGCGGCGTATTTCCCGCGTGAGTCGTGCGACGTCGAATCACAGACGACGCGTTAATTAATTAGCGCGTTCGTCTTCGCGAGGTAGGGAATGAATAGAAAAGTGCACGGGCACAAAAACGCATTATATGACTCGGTTCGCTTAACGAGCAGAAATCGACCAAAACAATGCAATGTTTAATGCATGAGCTTTCCAAGAGTACGCTATGGAGATACTTATATGTATTTTAATTTACAGAAATAGAATGTATGTATATGTATAGGATAAAGGCACCTAATATCGCCTACCAAAATTTAAATTGTTCTCATTTAAATAGTAATTGACATTTTTGTCTGTATTTAGTTTCAAATAACAGAGGAAACGTTTGTGTTTTATGTACAATAAGTTAGAATGGTTAAAATAAAAAAGATTTTAATCCACATTAAAAAGAAACAAAAACGGCAAAATCGGGGGTTCCCATACAGCACAGATGGTTGCAGTTACATTGCAGAAACGTTGCAATCTTGCACATTGCAGTGCAATCTTGCAAAGACATTGCAGGGATACAAAATTGCAAACTTTTAATAGCAATATTGCAGCAATGTTTCAAAAATAATGAAAATACTATATTTTCTATTTAAAAAATTTTTCTAATTACGAGAATTTTATAATGTTATTTTTGTTGATACCAATAATGCGCGAATTATTAAGTACTTGATCAGTGCGGTGTTGCTCGCAATCTCCATCTATTGCGAAGCGACATAACCTCCTTAGGTTGCCTCGCAATAGCTTGCTATGCATTGAAAAAGGCCCGGATGTATATGTAATTAGTAAATTCTCTGCTTATGTACAACAACAACAAATTATTCCAAAAATATTGCGCTGCAACATTGCTATAATGTTGCACTGCAAATCTCTCTGAGGGCGGACATTTCAACGCTGCTGCAATCCTCCAGAAACGTTGCAGCAATGTTGCGCAACGTTCCTGCAATATTGCAATCTTGCAATGTAACATTTCTGCAATCTTCCTGCAATCTTTCTGTGCTATGTGGGTTTGAAAAAATGGCACCTAATACCGCCTACCTTATAAATTGTTATAAAATCATTGTTTATCAATACCCAGTGAGAAATGATTCGTCGATCGACGTCGAAACGACGTCGAATCGACATCGACACCGTCGAATTGACGTCGATTCGACATCATTTCGACGTCGATCGACGAATCATTTCTCGCTGGGTATGTATGAGTTTGTGAAGCTGTAGATATTTATTACTTTACATTACATAAACGTTTGTAAGTGTCAAAAACATTTTTAATTTGTGATTATGTTAAAAAATATTGTTATTATATAACACACTGTTATTGTATAACACACTACTTCGAACTAGTTATACATCGAGTCAATTTGTACTCTTTTTTGCTCTTTTTTATTCTTAAAAATGCATGAATATAATGTTGCCTAGGCGCATATTTATTACGGATATCTCCGCAATGTTATAATATGATGGGTGGCACTGATATGAGTGCATCCTAGTCTAGACACTAAAAATTTCGTAACGAAAAGATACATATTGGAATCAGTTAAAAAAAGTATATCACTAATTATATATTCCTAGTAAATATTTATACATTAAAAGAATGTTAAACTTACATTCTCACTATGGGATGTCGACCTTGTACTGTCTGCTAAATTTTTCTGTCTTCAAAATTTGCTTTAACACGTCTCCTGAATCAGACATTATTTCTATAACGTTGTAACCGAGGGGGAAACCGCTGAGGGCATTACTAGGCATTTTTGGCATATTAGTTTGGGCATTAGGCCTTGCTGGGGCATTATAAAGATAAAATAAGATAATAAGATTAAGTAATGCCCATTGGACATGGTGTACAAGATTTTGGTGAGCAGTTTTCCCCTCAGTTGTAACTACAGTATGTCTTCTTACACATGTTTAGCCACTAATTCTATGTATTCCTGATTGATATCAGCACTTTGTTCACGAGATATCACGAGTGACGATATTAGGTGCCTTTACCCTATCATATAATCGTATACAAGTGATAAAAAATGAGTTAATTAGCGATAACGCATGCACACAATTGTAACATCAGTGTAAGTAATTATTGAATAAATATTAAAATGTAAAATTTACATTATTAAATATGTATCGACATATTGTTATAATAAATTATAAATGTCAATGTATTATTATGATTTAAATTAATTATTGCTGCTTGAATAATAAAAATAAATGATTATCATTTATTTGTAATGTTGCAATTATTAAAATTCTGGAAAAACTGTAGCATTGAAGAAAAAACTGATTTTGACGGTTTATTTTGAAAGAATGATGAATAATACCAGTTATAGATAAACAATAAATATTAATATTATGTTCTTCACAAATACTTGATATTATTATATTTTTTAACATATTATTTGGCGGCTGAACAAATCGTACATGCATGTGATTCCGATAAGCCGTTTCTTTATTCCAACAAATTGTTTATTTGTTCTAAGATTTGTGTAAAATTTCATAATTCTGTTGCCACATTTATTGGATCACTATACACATCGTTCGTTTTGCCTATTAATTCTTTATTATGCTTTTGTGCTATACGTCAATTGATACACAAATTGTAATGTAAACTTCTTAAAGATGTGCGTATTATTTTTGCATTTACGTTAATCCATTTTCTACAAAACTATGAATTAGCGGTAACCGTTGCAGGCAAAACCAGAAGATTATGTCCAACTTCCAATACGTTAAAACGCAGCCAAGCTAATCAACTGCTCGAATTTAATTCCATACAAATGCACGATCTCTTTCGGATTTGCAGAGCAAAACTGACTATTAACGATGGAAGAAACAGCAGCAAGCAACGAGAGCGCTTTGTACCTCGTGAAGTTTCGTCGCAGTTGTCGCAACCGCGAGTCTTACGACGCGATCACGGAATTAGTGGCTGAATTACGACGTGCTTACATGGTGAAAGGGCTGGAGGCTCAGCTTGATGAGAAACAGGCTCACAGATACGCCGAGCTCGTGCGAAAACGCGAGATCGCCGACTTGATCCGCCAGGAACAACAGGAAGTGTTGGAGGAGGATCTGCGGTGCCGGTCGGAGATCTTACGGAAGTCGGAGGAGTACAGGCGGCAGCTGGACGAACAGTTGACACGGAAGGTGGAAGAGAAAAGAGTCGTTGTGGAGGAGGCTCGTGAGTACAGGAAGTTCTTGGAAGAAGTGGACCGAGCGCAGGAGGAAGAGGAACGCTCGAAGGTGCTGGAGAAAAAATGCGCGCTTGTAGAGAAGACGAGGCAAGAGAGACTGATCCTCGAAGAAATGAGGGAGATTCATCGGCAGGAGGAGCGTAGAGCGGAAGAGAAGAAGCGGCTACAAGATCTAGAGTACTTGAAGGAGATAGAGGAGAGATCGAAGGAGGTGAGCAAACTCCGGCAGGAGCAGATAGAGAGGCGCGAGCGTGTCCTGCTGGAAACAACGAGGATTATTCTGGATGCTCAGGCTCGAAAACGCGAGAGAGAAGAGCGACTGATCGATCTCGTAGCTGAGGAAATCAGGTGTGAGCTTGTAATCAAGGAGATGGAGGAGTCGATGCGTAGAAAAAAAATGCAGCAGGAGCTGGCAGCTACTTTACGGGAACAGATAGTCTTTACGGAACAGTGCAGGCTGCATTTCGTGGAGGAGGATAGAGCATGGGCCGAGGAAGTCATGAGGAAGATTATGGAAGATGAGAAGATGGCAAGGTGCACGGCGGAGGCGAAAAGGAGGATGAAAGTACAGTACCGGAAGGACCTGGAGAGTTTGATTGAGCACCGCCGCAGGATTCGCGAGAAGGAGATTGCTAGGATTGAGGAAATTGCTAAAGAGCAACAGAGATTGGAACTGCTTGAGGTGGAACGCGCGAGGGAAGAGAGGAGGCGCTTATTGACGATACACGCGGCTAACATCGCGAATTTTGTGAATAGAGCGACTCTCACGGCCGAGGAGCGGGAAATTCTTGACGAATTAACGAAGAAAAATCGGGACCCTGAAAATATCGACGATGGAAACGCGAAAGATTGAACAGGATGGCAAAGCCGCTAATAATAAGTAAAAATTTCATCTCTAGTACTGCCGAGAAAATCCGTTAGGAAGGTAGAGAAGATATAACGAAGAAATATTGTACTTATCCGCGAAGATGGTCGATCTGAACTCATTGCAGTATTCGTAAGTAACTAGAATTTGTAGAGCGGTTAATAAAGAGAAAGAAGCTAAGAGAGAGAGAGAGAAAGACATTAAAGATAGAAAGGAAGTGCATGTTACATGTAGGTAGAAAAAGAATTATTCGAAAAGAGGCCAAGAGAAAGATCGAAGAAGTAAAGGCCAGAGGAAATGCTGTGATCGACGCGGAAAAAAGTGAGATTGACGACGACAGTAATGTTAAAGTTGAAGAACTACGTTTTTCCATCAACTTTGTGCGTCTATTAATAAAAAAAGGAAAGATTTGTAAAAGACTGAAATTTAGCTTATTATTTGTTTTGGAAAAATTTCATCGACTATTTTGTTAATAATTGTTGTAGGAAACGAATATCCGAAAGAATTCGCAGAGATTGGCGATCAATTATACATGTATGTAATATTTACGTTCAATAAAAAAGTTAATTATTAGGATGGAATCCTGGCTTTATTTACGTACCGTTAGAACATGCGATGGTCAAGAACCGTTAAAGTAGTCGATCTCGCGAGACACGAATGAGGCTTACAGAGACAGTTCTATATCTTGGAAGAAATAAAACCAGAGGGAAATGAGAGACGAACGTTGGAGGAAAGCCAATTGGAAAAAAATAATAATCATCTTCAAGAGCGATCATCTTCAACTCAAAAATAGTACGCAGCGGAGAAATTAAAGATCGTTTAAAGTAGAGACACGAAGAGAACTTCTCAAAGATAATATTTACAAAAAATTCAATTATAGAAAATAGATTTGCATAGCATAAAGATAATGATTTTTTAGTTTTATGGCAGTAGATTAGTTATACTTAAAAATAAATATTGAGATATTATAAATAATAATAAACGTAATAAACTGAATTTGATTGTTTTATGTACTATAATACAACGCTTTATATACGATCGGATTGGACCTTAGTGCATAATAATATTTTTGCATATGTATCTTTTTTCAGCACAGCAAACTGCGCGCTGGTAACTTTCTTGAAATACGTACAGTTTTGAGCTAAAGTCGAAAGAGTATATCTAATTAAATTGATAAGCTAATCAATTGATATTCCTAATAATATTCTTAATTAAACATCCTTTAAACAAACTGTAAACAATTTATTGCGAAAAATATTTTCTCAGCCAGGATTCGAAATCTCCCTTGAAATAATATAGTATATATATACGCGGAGAGAATTTTCTTTTGAAATTTACCCTGAAAATCATGTAATCATGGGGCAAGATGGGACAACATTCTGAAGAAGTTTATGAGAGTTTTTTGAAATTTTACCATACATTTCACTAGAAAAATGTATACTAAATATAATTATTAGTAAGTATATAAGGTAAAGTTTCAAAAACCTCTCACAAAATTCTTCGAAAGGCCATATTGTTCCACGATTACATGACATTTCCAGGATAAATTTTAAGAGAAATTTCTCTCCGTGTACTTAATTATAATACACAAATATGAAGGTAGATGAAAGATTGTTATTAAACCAACACTTTTAAGTTTTAAGTTTAATAAATTTCGTAACGCAAAAGGCTAAGCATAGAAAAAAGAAATTATCATAAAAAACGACAGAAAGTTTGCATTTTTTACACATGATTAACCTTTTAGATAAATAATAATTTTTGTACGGAAACTATATGTAAAAATCGTATTTCGGCAGGAATAAACAAATAACAATAGTCGAAAGAAGCGGAAACTACTTTGTTGGACAGAATGAAATGCCTCGTAAGAAAGTCACGAAGGAAACCGCGAAAGATGGGAGAAAAAACCGGAAATTGTGGCAAAAGTTAAAAAATCAATGGACATTCAATGCCGTAGGCTTCAAGCATACATGCGAGTTAACTTTACTACAAGATCCGCCAAGTCCAGTTTGTTCGAATGAAATTGGTGAAATAAGTACAAAAAAGGGGGTGGAAAGATGAAGCACACGGTAATAGAATAATCAATATACACAAATATTATTTATGAAAGAAAAATGAACTGATCTAAAAATGAGTATTTTCCTATGAAAGAGGAAATTAACTAAATATTATGCACGTGGCTTTGCTAGATGTAATACGATGCAAATCGGTATCGCGCATGTCTTTTAATTAAATCGCAAATTATCGTTCCGGTACTACTTTTAAATCACATTTAGCCCTTTTGCTCTCACGAACGTGAGCTATCTCGTGCGCCGATACGGCATGGAATTGCGTCGTGAGATAATCTACGAATGTAGAAAGATTAAGCAAACTTGACACGCTGGCGGTAATATATTCAAATTTATTAAAATTATAGTGACTATCTCGATCGATACGTGATTTTTCCTGTTATCGAAACCTTAAATTACTGTTAGCGCATAGTACGCGGTGCTGCAAGGCGACGCGGTTTGCGCTTGTGTGGTAACATGACTGACATATAAATTGCGTATAATATCCTCTTAATATCCGTTATCTCGCTGGATATTAATCAAGGCGTCAAGATAAGGATATAATGGCCACTAAGAATTACGCATTCTGGCAATCTATAAAAGTTAAGTATCAGGGCAACATTGTAGTAATTATTATACCTGAAAAAGACTGGATATTCATAATTACAATGTTCAGAGATGAATTTCCTACCCCCACTGTCATCGTTCTACCAATTTATTCGATAATCCACGCATATTTTAGCACGGGTTAACTGATGACGCAATAAATTTTTTAAATTGATATATATATGCTTTGATCAAAGAAATTACTATCACATTTATAGGTATTATGTTTTATCTACATTTTGGT